GCGTGCCATACTGATGGAGATTTTTAGCTGAAATAACGTGGAAAACAGTGTTTGAATAAACACTTGGAACGAAATTTGACTATTGTCAAATTTCCTCTGATCCAAAATATCTGGGATCGACTGAAATGGTACTGATCAAAGCGTCTTCCTGACGCTTACTGGTAATTTTGCGGTTGTTCCCATTTTAATCCCGTTTTACACCCTGATTTGCCCTTTTATTGTGGTCGTTTTACGGTTGTATACGAGTTTTTAAATTCTGCTCTCTTTTCCTTTTCAACATGGTCGTCTCGCGAAAAACTGAGGTGAATAAACACCTTGCGTCTTCGTTTGATGAGTCAAATGCAGCTTGCAGCAATTCTGCCTATTCAAGGCCAGTGATGGATTCATCTGGTGGTATGCAGTGAAATGTTCGCTCTCTTTGGTATCACAAAAGTTGTACCGGCCTCCGAGCAAATCAGTACAACATGCTATCATCCAGTGAAAATCTTCTGTTTAGATGTGCTGATTGTTGCGCTCATAAAGCGAAGATCACGGCTTTCACCTGTGTTGAATTTAAAGCACTAGCATCCAGATTCACAGTTGTTGAGAAGGCATTAGCCGAGCTTGCCTCTCTTACCTCGCTCAACTCTAAAGTGGATTTGATTACGAAATCCCTGAATATTGCGAAGGTGGACGCTGTAACGGACTGTCCTTCTGCTGACAGTTTAACCGTTGACGAGGCGTTCATCCTACCGGACGCTCCAGTTCATGTGGATATAACTGACACAGATGCCTCGGACAGCATTGTTGACCCGCCTCAAATGGAAGGCGAGTTACGGGCTCCTGGGCCATTAAAGAATAAGCGTAAGAAGGCAAGGAAAACTCGCAAACCCACTGCTCCCAAACCGGAAGGTGATAAAGGGCTCAAGAAACAGGCGCCAGTGTAGGAAACACCACCTGGTGTTGCATTTCCCTCAGCGAGACATGAGGTGCCGTCGCCTTCGGTCTCACCGATTCCTGTCAAACAACCGTGTGGCGTGGATGGTAGAGCATGTGGTGTAAATACACCTCGTCGAGGCGATTCTTACACAGATAGCAGTGTGATTTTCAGAAACGTCACTGAATCCACTGCCGCTCTTCCCCCCGAGTGCATGCTTGATTATCTTGGTTGGCTTAAAGTTTGCGTGACCAGGCTTTTACCACCAGTTTTTCCTGGCGTTACTGTCAGGAAGCTCATCAGATTGGGGAACGTTCCGGTTGGTCAACCAAATCCTCGACCCCGTCTGCTTAGGGTGGTCCTCTCCACCCCAGAAGACGCAATGCCTTACTGAAATTTGCCTTCAAGCTCAAAGGTACCAACGTTAGTGTGCAACCAGACCTTCCGTTAGCGGATAGGTTAAAGTTAAAAGAAGCCATCAGAGACCTAAACGCCCGGCGTGCAGCTGGTGAGCAAGGTCTCCGATTGGTGGGTTTTCAGGTGGTCAGCCGGCGGTCCTTTACCGCCCTGCCAGAACATATACTACTGGTGCACGACCCAGGGCTGGTCGTGCCGAAGTCCTCCAAGTAGTACTTAGTAACGTGCGTAGCCTGAGGAACAAGATGTGCTAGGTGGGTCTGCTCGTAGACAAATCGCGTCCAGATATACTTGCTTTCACTGAAACGTGGCTATCTGAGGCAATCACAGATGGTGAAGTATATCTGCCTGGCTACGCACTGTTCCGCGCTGACCGCTCCACTGGCCGTCAAGGGGGTGGTGTAGCTCTTTATGTGAGTTATCACTGACGTATTGAGGACCAGCGTTTTTCAGTCTCTCGACAAAGCCGTCGAGGCACCCGCAGTCTTGATTTGCGCTTCCTTGGTTCAGGTTACGGTCGTGTTAGTGTATAGAAGCCTTATGAGCACCTCCAATGAAATCATAGAGTTTATACGCACTCCATCTGCGAACAAGTGTCTGGTGCTGGGCGACTTCAACCTCCCAGAGGTCTGTTGGGATGATCTATCTTGCAGTTCGGTGCTGGGTGCGTTCGGTGCAGAACTGCTGGACTTAACGCTGCAGGTAGCACTACACGAGTTCGTGGACCTCCCCACTAGGTACATGAGCAACCAGCGGCCGTCCATTTTGGATCTAGTTTTGCTAGTTCACTTGATTTAGTGAATGATATTAAATATGATTCGCCACTTGGCGCTAGCGAGCACGTTTTCTTGTCTTTCCAGTGTACCCTTATCAGGCCTTGCCAAGCTACTACCAGTTGGTATCCGAACATTTGGGCCGCGGACTTCCAAGCGATGCGGGGTAAAGCTAGGTCATCGCCTTGTGTGCTATCTGAGACCGATACTGTCCACCTAGCCTGGGAACAACTTAAGGCTAACCTCGTCTGCACCTCACATCCCACTAGTGAAAAGCAGGGAATCGAGAGCGCAGCCTCCGTGGATAGATTCCGCGGGGAAGGGCCTGCTAAAGAAGCGGTCTAGATGCTGGCGAGCGTACCGAACAGCTCCGTCGAACAGCACGTTTGACAAGTATCTTTTGGTTCGAAATGAGTGCTAGCTACGTCTTAGGTTGGCCCGGCTTCAGTAGGAAAAGGGCTTAGCTAATACTGTCTCGAAACATCCCAAGAAATTCTTCGCTTGCGTTAAACGACGCTGTGGTGCAAACTCGCCCATTCCACCGTTGCTTCGAGGAGATGGGATCCATGCCTATAGCGACTATGACAAGGCATGCGTGCTTGGTAAGCAGTACTCAAGCGTCTTTGTCCGCGGAACAAATACGCCATGTAAAGAGTTAGCTCCAAGAGTCCCTGAGGACTGTTGTCTGGATGAAATTCCTGTAACGGAGTCCCAAGGTCTCCGGTTGCTAAGAGAGATAAACCCAACTAAGGCGTCCGGGCCAGATTCTGTTCATCCAAAATTGTTGCACGAATACGCAGGGGAACCCAGTGGACCTTTAACTTGTGTGTTTCAGAAGTCACTCAACAGCTGTGTTTTACCTACTGAATGGAAGGAGGCTTTTGTCTGCCCGATTTTCAAGTGCGGTGACAAAGCCATACCGGCTAATTACAGGCCGGTCAGCTTGACTAGCGTGGTGGTTAAGTTACTTGAAAAATTAGTACGAGCTACAGTGGAGAACCATTTAAACAGGTTTAACCTGTTTTGCGTCGAGCAACATGGTTTTCGCAAAGGATTTTCGTGTCAGACGAACTTGCTGGTAGCTCGTGAGTGCTGGGCTGAAGCCGTAGACAGTGGACGTGCGGTGGATGTGGTGTTCATTGACTTCGCCAAGGCCTTTGACACTTCCTCCAATCGCGACTCTCACTGAAGTTGAGGTCGTATGGAATAGCTGATCGCGATCCCCATTGGGGGTCAGCTTTTTTGGATAGACGGGAACAGTGTATTCGTGTGGGAAGCAGTCTTTCGTTTCGACAAGCTGTACTTAGCGGCGTACCACAAGACTCTGTCCTAGGTCCGCTGCTTTTTTCTGTCTGCGTGAATGACTTGCCGGAGGAGCTTGAGGTACCATCGCTCTTATTTGCTGATGACCTAAAGCTCCGGAATATTGTTGATATCCCTGGAGGTCCTGTGGCTCTTCAACGGGCTCTGGATAGACTCTGGGAATGGTCTGTCTTGTGGTTGCTGCCCATAAACCGGGAATTGTTCAGTGCTGCGTATCGGAGCGTCTGATTCCTCCACAAGTTATGTGCTCGATGGGACTGTACTTCCTCACGTGACTCATCAAGTTGATCTGGTATCGTCCACTGTTCCACACTACACTGGAGACAACTGGGAGAAGGCGGCTAGTAAAGGGTTCCGGATGTTGTGGTTTATCCGTCGTTCTTTTGGGACCCTAACCGCTGATGTGTTTGTGAAGCTTTTCTCAGCGTTTGTGCGACCCCACATAGAATATTGCGTCCAGGCCTGTCCACCATGCCTTGTCCGGGACAAAATAGCATTAGAAAGGGTGTTGCGTGTCGGTACTAGGTTGGTCACTGGATTCCGAGAGCAAACGTACCCCGAACGCCTACTTAGTTTGGGGATGCAGTCAATGTACTATCGAAGAGTTAGAGGGGACCTAATCCTAACCTATTGTATTTTGACTGGGAAGCATGGCTCTGATTTGTCCTGGCTATTTAGTCCTGCTAGATTATCTAGTCTCCGCGGACATTGTATGAAGCTGGACAAACCGCGGTCCGATCGAGTTAGAGCGGAGACACGCTTATCGCGTCGAGTCATCGAGAGCTGGAACCTGCCTCCAGAAAATGTTGTCAAGGAAGCTACGGTTAAGGGGTTTGAGCGTCAACTAGTTGCACTTGGGTGGCAACACGAAACCTTTCGGTTTTCCTAACAAATTCCCATCTTCCTACTCCGATTCTATTTTCTTTACTTTTCCTCGTCATTGGTATTAATCTCTTCTTTTAACTGATTTCCCCTACTCTCTTACCTTCGATTATTCTTCCTCTCTTACTTACTTCACGTAACTGACATAGCTGGGACAGCTAATGTAAGGAACGTGGGCATTAAATTGATGGACCAGGGTGTTTTTCGGGTGTTTTTCTTTTAGACCCATCAAGAAGTCAGAGCACTCCTATCAACTCCTGGATCGACGACCCGCTCAAGAAGGAACACTTACGGGGTTCATCCTATCGTTCCAGTCCCACTTGAACTTGAAACTGTATTTGTTATGGTTTTAACCAGAATGCATGGAAATCTCCAAGTTGCGAATGTGTCACCGATTTCTTCATTAAATTAATACCTTGCAGTGCGCGATCCTCTGTTAAGTAGTAGTAGTAGTAGTAACAGAGTAAAACAACCAACAGCGGCCTTGTACAAACCATTGCTACTTCAGCAGACAAATGGCATAGGATGTCACCGAATATTAAACTGAGATCATCATGTTTTTTATTATCATACAAAACGTAACGCAACTACATTACTTGAACTTTAAATACTATGCGTTTGCTTTACGAAGCTTAATATGCTATTCATATTATTTTTAAAAGTCACATTGTTTTGTTGGATGAAATACTAATGCTCAAGGTTTCGGCGGTGAATATGGATGAGATCTTGGATGTCGGAATTGAGCCGCATAGTGTATATCGGTTTGTAATCACATCAATTTAACTTTATTTGCATAAAGGAACCCGCTTACAACTAGATATGCTAGTAAAGAGATGATCAAAAATTTTAGCGAACGACGGAAATGCGTTTTGTGGCGCCAGTTGTGGATATGGTTGGCGGAGGCTCAGCGGGAACTGGGTTTTGATATATCAGGTACCTTTGGTCCAAAGTAACAGAATTCATAGTTAAATCCATTTTGCATCAGTATACCTCACGTTTTGCTGATATAGATGGCTTGCTATCATCTGATTATTAATTCGTTCTTATAGTTCACATAATTTATTGCTTGATTTTATGGACATATGGTCTGTAATTCTGTAGTTACGCTTACATAGCTGCTTTGTAGGTTGTTTTTATGCCTACCGGACTAATCATTTTGACATCACTATTGGCAGAATCATGGTTTTTTGAATTTTTCTCTGGGCTTGCTCATTCCTTAACCTTATCATACATGTAAATACTACTTTTCCGACTTTTATTAGCTTAACCGTCATCCAGTTATTCTGCCCGGCAATTTTTGGACCTTCTGTTGCCGCATTAAGATAAACACGTAACGTCTTTTGGTCTGTAAGCGAGTAAGTCACTTAAGTTGAAAATAAGTTTGCGCGTTCGCGAGGAGTTATTGAGTAAGATTTTAATTTGAATGGTTTGGTTTTGTTCCGATTTTAACCAATGAATCTAAAGTATAATATATAAGCAACCAGTATCGTTGACACATTGTCATGGTTTAGGTTAGAATGATCAAGATTTGTTTCTATAACTCCGTCGTTAGCTGATCCATGACTCCCGTTTGTTTGTGGTCTGCTAACGAAATTCCTATAGAATGTTTAGTTTTACCATGTGCCCAGCGAATCTAAGGTATCCGTCTGTTTGCTTGTGTACGATTGTCTGCATAGCTCGACACATTCGCGCCGTCCTGGGTTTCGGCAGGCTTGCCGAACTACCTCGTGGCGCCAGCTGGGTCGTTCAGGTGTACCCCGTTCCATCAGTGTTCGGCGACAATGTTTCACCTCGGTTTGGCGTTGTACTTCAGTAATTTTGCTGATTTCATGGGAAGTATTGGGTCCCTGTTTGGTAATCTGCCAAACAAAGACATGTGCTGAACATTCAGTCAACGCCTCCCAATGAGCGCGATTTCCTTAATTCGCCCCGCTGCATCGCGTGAAATTTATTTATCCTATGGTCCCGGGTGGAGTCACCTAAGTCAACTCCCTACTTCGGCTTGGGCAGCCGGGTAGTATCACACCCTCTCACAAAATCATGGACTGTATTACAACGTGCTCATCAGCTACCTTTTCTTCTAGTCACTTTCAAGCGACTTCATCACACGCCAATTGTTTGTTCGCTAACAATCCTCACTTTCCGTTACCTGTTTCATGTGCTCAACAATCTCACTGCGATTCCGGTTGCGCCGCAGACCAAGGAGTTTAACCTATGGCTCTCCTTCGTCTCCACTCCTCGTTCCGTCTGGCTTGCTTCAACTTTCGGACACTCACGCAACGAGACTGGACCTTAACGTGGTGCGACGGTTTGCGTACCTCATTGACCCATTGAGCTATACTGGGTGATGCCTCCGAGCATCTTGAGAGCTACTCCTACCAGGTTGGTCAATGGTGAGAGGTCAGACAAACTCAGTCTCCTGGTCCTCCAGGTTGGGGGTTTGAAATGGCATGGCGTCCATTTCTGTAAAACTAAATCACTGCCACCCCGCTGCCTTGCGGACAGGCTTTTGAGCCAAAGGCTTTGGATGAGGACCCTAATCGTTCTCCTGTCTAGGTCTGGGCGCCCTGGCAGTATCCCAGCCCACATACAACCATGACATTTTCTTCAAACATAAACTTCATCCTGCATCGGCCATCGCGCAGATTATCAAGGGTCGCCTTATCTGCTGCATACAGCAGGGAGGATAAGCGAAAACATGCTACTGCTGGCGCCTCCCTTCTTTCTTTTCCACCTTTTTCTCTTACTCCCATCCCGACCCCCATTACTAACCTTCCTTCTATAATTCCCAGCTTAATTGACAGCAACCGAAGTGCTACTGGAGCAGATCCATCTGCAGCCACCATCACACAGCACCTACCGGACGCCTATCGGCAAAAATTCCTTATAAGGCCACGCTGTCCCGTTTCCATGGCGACATTCAACGTCCGCACTCTACGACAAACAGGTCAGCAGGCTGCACTCGCACGCACCTTGGACACACTGGGTGTTGATGTGTGTTGTGTGTCCGAAACTAGGATCAATGACCCTAACGGGGTTATTGAATTGACTGCACCCAGCATATCCTCTCGTTATTGGTTGCACGCATCCGGAGACGCCGATGCGGCACTCACGGGTCAAGCTGGTGTAGGTATCATTCTCAGCTGCAAGGCTGAGTCATCGTTGGTTGATTGGATTCCGGTGAACAGCCGTTTATGTGCACCCTGTTTGACGACATCAGCTAAGGTGAATTCGCGAAATAGTACAAAACGCTGTTTGTTTGTGATTTCTGTTTACGCTCCCACCGACTGCAGTTCTAATGCTTTCAAGGACACATTCTATCACGAACTGAACGCGCTACTGCGCAGTGCTACTAGTTCAGATGTTATAGTACTTGCAGGGGATATGAACGCACAAGTAGGGCGTCTGAGCTCTTCAGAAGCTCAGCTGGGTGGTAATTATGGACTTAACTCCGGACGGTCTGACAACGGTGAGCGTCTGCTGCAACTGTGTGCGGAGCACCAGTTGTTTCTTACTAGCACTGCTTTTAGACACAGTGGGCGCCGAAGTGCCACTTGGCGTCCACCTGTAGCTGGTCAGCGATGGACCCAAATTGACCACATAGCGATAGATTACAGGTGGCGCGGTTCCATTCTGGATTGATGCTCGTACTGGAGTACCTGTGTCGACTCTGACCATGCCTTGGCACGCGGTCGTTTCTCCATGAACTTTACCGGAGGGCGCACAAAGCGTCTCCCCCGATTGGCAACTGAGAAATTGTCCCAGCCCTCTGTCAGGCAAGCCTATCAAGAAGCACTGCATAGCGAACTCTCGCTGTCTTGTCCTAATGATACCGAACTTCAGTGGAATAGGATCTCGGCCACTATGCACGACGCAGGAGCATCTGCTTGTGGCACTATCAGTCGTCATCGCACCAATCACAGGATATCCGAGAGGTCCGTGAACCTGTTGGAAGCTAGAAGACACCTCCCGGCTGGTTCTGAACACAATGTGACCAGACGGGCTATTAGGCGTGAAGTAAAGCGGAGCCTACGTGCTGACAAGGAAGCCTGGTGGACCAGTCAGGCTCAACAAATGGAGGAGGTAGTAGCAGTAGGCAATTACCGGAAGCTCTTCCAGCTAATCCGCACCACTGGTCCCAGAAAACCAGGCGTCAGTGAGACAATCAGAGACAGCGCGGGTGCGCTGATACACAATAAGGAGCGCCGTATGGCTCGTTGGGCTGAACACTTTGAAGCTCAGTTCAGCTGGCCCCCTGCTCCCGGACCTCTTCCTACTTAGGCGATGCAGGACGAACTATGGACGGTTAGTTTAGTGCCTCCGTCGGAGGCCGAGGTCCGAAACGCGATCACAGCCCTCAATCGTTTTCGTGCCGCTGGCCCGGATTCCCTCCCACCTGCACTATTTAAGGATGGAGGTGAGGTCTTGTGCAAAGCACTGACCTCCCTATTCGAACGTATCTGGAACGAAGAGTGTGCCGGCTAATTGGAGCGAATCGATTATAGTGGCAATATACAAGAAGGGCAGTCGCACAGACTGTGCGAACCACAGGGGTATTAGTCTAACGCCAGTTGTGACAAAATTACTGGCCTCGATTATCGTTCGTCGCCTCACTGCGGAATGGGAATCTCGGATTAGGGAAGAACAGGCGGGTTTTCGCCCCGGACGTGGCTGTATAAACAACATATTCACTTTGCGGCAGGTGCTAGAGCAGCGCCACGCATAACGCAGACCGACAATAGCTGTGTTCCTCGATTTCAATAGTGCGTTCGACTCAGTCGATAGATCAATTCTGTTCGAAATACTTCCGCGAAAAGGTGTTCCCACGAAATATGTGAACATCCTTCGTGCTCTATACTCGAACACTACATGCCGCGTCAGGATCTATGGTGCTCTATCGGATAGCTTTCCGACTACAAGTGGCGTTCGACAGGGTTGTCTGATTTCCCCGTTTTTGTTCAATTTCGTCGTGGATTCTATCATGGAGTGTTCCCTTGCGGAGTCTCACGATGTAGGCGTTGAAGTGCTGCCTGGTGAAAGGTTAGTTCACCTAGATTATGCGGACGATATCGTCTTGCTTTTCGACAATGTTGAGGCGGCACAATCAACCCTGAATAGCCTGTCTAGAGTGGTCCCATTATTTGGTATGCACTTCGCACCTTCAAAGTGCAAAATGTTGCTGCAGGACCACCAGCCACTCGATGACTCCTTGACGCTTGCTAACGAGGAACTCGAGGTGGTTGATCAATTCACTTATCTTGGCAGCTGCATCAGCAATGATGGGCGCATAGAAACTGACGTGAGCTCACGCATTGCAAAGTCCAGAGCTGCCTTCTTGAACCTGCGTCATCTTTAGCGACAGAAGGGAGTTTCCCTCCGTCTGAAAGGCCGTGTATACAAGGCCACAGTGAGGGCCGTTCTGCTGTATGGTAGTGAGACTTGGCCCCTTCGGTCTGAAGATCTGAGGCGCCTTCAAGTCTTTGATCATCGTTGTTTGCGAAGCATTGCTGGTGTCGGATGGCACCAGCGTGTCCGCAACGATGATGTGCGTAGGCGAGTACTAGGTGGTGATAATTTTGCTAGCTCCCTAGAACAACAGATAGCACTCAATAAGTTACGTTGGCTCAGGCACGTGCTACGCATGCCTGGTCACCGCTTACCTAGGAGGGCGTTGTTTAGTCTACCAGGTGTCGGATGGCGCAAGGCTCGAGGTGGACAGAAGTTGACTTGGCAGCGGGAAATGAAGTCACTGACGACCAAACTGGGTGCCGTTGGTCCGTCTCGCCTTCCGGGTTGGAGTCCACGTGACTCACCTTGTGCTTGGCTCGAGACTTTACAGGACATGGCTCGCAACCGACGCCAGTGGCGCGTCTGCTGCCGTCTCCTAATCGGATTGTCTGTTTAAAGTGTGTTTGGTGCTGAGTTATCTGCAG